CCAAGGGCCTGAGCTCCGGACGGTGTCGGTGCGACTATGAAGGCTCCTGAAGAATGCCCGAGCTCAGAGGGAAAGGCCACCAGTGGTCACGAATGTCTTCCGTGGGCGCGAGCATTGGGGGGAAAGGTAGATCGCATTTGACATAGTTTTCATCCTCGCATACAAGTCCACAGTTTTCATAAGAACAAAACAAGTAACTGACATACGGCGTCTCGTTCTTCAGAGAGGACCACAGAAAGCTCTTCATTGCGTTCACCGCACCGGAAGGCTGCTACACTTAAATCAACTGTCACTGAATAAGACTAAAGACCCAGGTCCACAGCTTCACTCTCCACACGTCAAGCGCTCAGGACTAAGAACATGTCCCTTGTTCTGTGGGGCGACACCAGCCGACGGAGAGGCTGGAGACGCAGGCTCGAGTGCCACAATTCCCAGCAACCCTCAGACCTGCCAGTGCTGTTACGTGTCCCTGGAGAGCTGCTTTACCCCCGGGGGACCCAGATTTCTGTGTGCAAAGTGACCACACTGGCACCGATTCCAGAGAGCGCTGCTCAGAATGGTATTTCACATGTGGCAAAAGTGACAAGCAAGAGTAGCACCTGGCTAGCGCTCAGTAAGTGACCGGCACGGCACTTCCTGCATGTTTTCGCAGCCGCGCGGGGCAAGGCTGGAAGGTGGACCCGCGCCCAGCCTCCTCCTGATCGCTCTCTCTCCGCGGGGGCGGCCAGTCCCAGCGAGACAGCCACTCCCGCCACCGCACGGCTCCTTGCTCGCCTGCCCCTTTCCTTCCGGGCAGTGGACTCACCCCCAGGAACCAGGGCTGCCCGGGCTGGGCTCCCCTCCCTGTGCTCCGCCTGGCGCCCACTTCCCATGGGAATCCGGCTTCTGAGGACAGTTGCAGCTCTTTGCCCGCTCACAGCTGCCCTTGGGGCAGGGCAGAGGGCTCGGCGTGCTCTCGCTCCGGGCTGACTTGGTTTTTGCTTGATGTCCTGGCTTCTCTTGTCAGCCTCTTCTTCAGTCTCTCTTCCTGCTACCCCTGTGTGATGATCTCACCTGCACTGGGGGGAAACATGTTGGTGGTGACGACGACAAAGACTGTCGTTACTGAGCCCTAAGAACGTGCCAAGCCTCACATCAAATGCGTTCCGTTACCTGGATTATCCTCTTCAAAATCCCCAAGATTTTATTGTCATTGCTTTGCAGTGAAGAATTTGAAATTCGTGTTGTTGGCACTTGCCAAAGTCAGTAAGAGCACATGGCAAGCCTGGCATTTCCACGCCTTCTAAGGTGCCCGCTTCAAATCCCCAGAGGCAGCAGAGATGAACAGGTGGGTGGCAAAGAAGGGGAAGGGGAGGAGAAGTGGATTCTGAGGGGAAAATCAGGGCATGTATAGGCCTGAGATGGACCTTCCTGGGACCTTCCTGGGATTCTTTCCCTTGCGAGCTTCCTGATCCTTCCCTTGGCCTCCGACTGACTCCTGTTCCTTGTGGAAACACAGACACTGTGGGTCAATGCCCTCCTCTGTGACAGTCAAGGAAGCACAAAGTCTTTTCTTCCAGAGGGTCCGTCCCTGCAACAGAGCAGCGTTTCTAGGAGCTGTTTGGAAAGAAAGACCCTTGGGGACCGACTTTGAGTCCAGCCCACGAACCAAGCTTCTCCCGGGCTTGTCAGTACGCGATGCTTCAGAATCGCCTGGTCCTCCGTCTGTCTGCTCGTGTCCTGGATCACCCCGGGCCACTGTGGCATTCCCATCACGACGCCCAGGGGCCTGGCAGCCGGACACTGCAAGCTGGCCAAGCAGTGGCCAAGCAGAGCCAGGGTGGAGCGCGCAGCAGCTTGAAGCTGGCCTGAGCCTCCGAGGGGAGCCCCGGGCCCACCGGCCCTCGGTCCGCCTGCGCTCAGAGGCCCACTCTGCAAGAGTCCAGGTCCCGACCTGGGAGAATGTAGCTTTCCCCTGGAGGTCCAGCCCAATGGCAAGCTCTGGCCCTTCCCCTATTTTCTCCCTGCCCCTCTGCTTCCTCTCTCCAGCCCTAACACCTGCAACTCAGTTGCTAACATCAAGTTAATGGTGATGGAAAGAACTCAGGCGACCAACTTGCCGAAATTAATTGATCCAAAAAGTGTTTCCAGTGGATGCTGGACAACCCTCGACACTTGATATGTATACGAGTTCAACATGCACTGACCTGTATGTGTTCAAACACGCCTACCTTCAGGTATACCTTTACGATTTATCACCATCGCCATCATCACTATTATTTCTTTATTATTGCTAATATATGCATGTAAGAAGGGGCCTGGGAGGTTTTAACCAGCAAGTAAAGAAATAGAAACAAAATAGTGTATTTAATTATCCTTTGAAAAGTCGGCAGATTCGCTTAAAGTCTGAAAAACAATTCCTCTTCCTATGGTCTATCTTCCTTTTGTTTGAAGCTTAGAATTTTATTCGTTTCCCTCTCTCTCTGCCAGAAGGGCAGAGATTTGGTTTTTTCAATGGTAAATTGTGTTGTTTATTGTGTAAGAGGCAGAGAACCCTGTTTCTGAGCTTCTAATTTTTGAGTTTAGACCTTTCAAATGTTCCAGCAAGATCAGTTGACATGTGAGATATGCTCATCTTCCTGATAGGCTGGCCTGGGATGTGTGCCTCACCATGATAGGCCCACCTGGGATGTATTCATCCTCCTGATAGGTTGGCCTCTGCTCTGCTGGTTGCTCCTAGAGCTTTAAGTCTAAGAAAATAAGTAGAAAAAAAGAAGAAAAACTGGAGACTGACGATGCAACACAATGTCTAGTAAGACTCACAGCTTTATTTCTGCTAGGAAACAGGGGAGAAAAACTATATTTTTACAAAAATTTTGAACAATTGCTTTGTCTGATAAAGTCCCCAGAAGAATGAGACCACCCTGATCTCCCAAACTTTAATTGTATTAGAAGATGCCCAGGGAAGCTGATAGGTGGGGACACACCACCCCAGGACATAAAAATTTAAAAATAATGGCTTGTCTCTTAGAATGAAGGGAAAAAATAATCTATAAATAGCAACTTGCATAGAATTCACATTATTGCTGTTTTTTATGAAATCATTACAAGTAGTTCTGCACTAACTTCCTCCTTCCCCTCCACCCTAAAACTTAGAACTGCCTAGAAAATTATGTGCTCTTTTCCTATTGAAGCCTCAGGGAGGGAAGCCTCTATATGCAAACACATATAGAGAATCCAAGGACTTTATAGCAAAGGAAGGGCAAAATAAATTAAATAAATATTACCTAATAAATAACTCCAGCAACATTCATTATCTACAAACGCACTTGCATATTCCCTGGAGGGCAAATTGGCAGTTGGCAGCTGCTAGAGTTCAAGATCTCCCTGCAGGATGCGTTCAAATGGGTGTGCAAGCCAAACCCGGCAGGGTTAGAACTGTGAGCAAATGGAGAGAAAATAACTTCAGACTGCAAAGAGACACTAAGTAAGAGGCTGAAGTGTCAAGACTCACAGGTAGTTGGACAGTAGACTATGGAGCACTATTAATCTGGCACATCAGTGTTACTCACTGGCCCTATTTGTGTGCCTGGTGTCTGAACGGCACTCACAGGAGCAAGATGTCCTAACGATCCTAGAAGCCATCTAGTCTTCTGACTTGATTTAGAGATTTGTTCTGACATCTAAAAGAAGATAGTGAAGTATCTCAGATCACATTTCTCTGGGAAAAGGTTAATTTGACAAATTAATGGGGATAATTAAAAAATGAGGACTTACATGGAAAAAATACAGATCCTGCAAAACAGAATACATCTATGAGGAAGATATAGCTTGGACAAGCATTCACCTTGAATTTCACTTACATATCTTTAGATGAGAGGAAGAGAGAACAATTAATGGGACTTGATATATGTTGGAAACTTCAAGCTTGATCAATGAATTGATTGGTTCTTGTGCTTCTAGGAAATATAAATACGTGGACAGAGCTTTAAGCATGTTTACTTTAACCAAGTAAAAATTATCTTGCCAAAGACACCCTCATGGATCTCCTCATGGCAGGTATGAAGTCCAGAGAGTCCCTGGACCATAGTTAACGTAGGCTGTAGCCGTGTATTGCTGTTGAATGTGACCTGGGTTATTTGCTGATTCCCACTCCAGTGCCTGACCTTCATCAGAAATTCCGAGTCCTCTGGTTATGGAGGACATGAAATGATCTAGATGACTTTTCTAAGTCTCATTGGTCCCAAGAGTCTGAAGTTTTGATGACTTGTGTGTCTCAGTTCGAATACTGAAACAATTGCTTCTGAAATGCTATCAAGATCAACTTGGTATGAGAACTCTATTAGCGTTCTCCAACTCCAAGGAAGATGTCTTCACCACCAGCTCACCAAGAAATCGAAATCTCTTCAAGAACGTGCTTTGTTATTCACAGTGACGGCAAAGTTCAAGTTTCAGTCTCTGGAGGCTATTTGTAGATAGAGCGAAGGAGTCCTGTCAGGGGGTCCCAGCCGACTTTGCGTCCAGTGACCTGGTAGCTGCACCCTGCAGTCCTTTGGCAGTCCCATTCCATACAGTGTCCATGTCTTCTCACTGCTCAATTCTTTCTCTTTCAAAATATTTGTAGGCCTGATATCAAATGCTATAGAATTTTAAAACTGTAAGGGCATTTCGAAATCTTCTAAACTTAAAACAACTGCCTCATTTGGTCATGAAACAGAGGCCAAAATGGAAAATTAATTGGCATAGATCATTCAGTGAGTTTTTGGCACCACCAGAATAGGACCCAGGGCTTCTGTTCTTTTGATACGTGACTGTAAACAATCATATAAGTGAAATAAGGGCCTTAATAAAAGAATCAATCCAACTTGAGAGGTTGGTGAGAAAAGAGGATGGCAGATGTCGGAGGGACTGTTGTATTTGATGTCTATCCCTAAGGGCCACTTCCGGTCATTTCGTTCCAGCTCAATCACTTGAGCTACGGGATACTCCAGATCATCTCTGAGATGCTGATACTCACTGCCCTAATCAGTGAAGATTGTATTGAGTTGGGCGCCGAGGCCAGGGTGGGGGTAAGAGTCATAGGACATATCGAGGGGAACATCATAGTGGGGAGCACCCACCTGAAAGGGGGTTGAATGTAGGTGTCCTGAGCTGAGGCTGGCAGAAGGATAGTGCGGGACGAAGCCGTACGATTTATCCAGATCGGGAGAGCCATCTTGCTTCAAGGAAAAGTTCCCACTGATACTCAGAGGTGGAGTCAGTGGGCCCTCATAAGGGGGGGTTCTGCAGTCAGGGGGGTGGCTGCCAAAGGAGGGGTCGCCCAAGCCCTTGAACACTGGGGGCTTGAGGTTAATAAGATGTGTTTCCATGTGGCCGTAGGGCGGGCTGGGCAGCCCGGGAGACTGATAGTTGAAGTCATGGACGGAGATGGCAGAGCCACAAAGGGACGTGTCCTCGCGCTTCTCCAGGAGCACAGCCTGCGGGCCCAGCTGCAGGCACCCGGCCACCAGGTTGCTTGTGGGCTGGGAGAGCCCTTTACAGAGCATCTCCACGAAGCCCTTCCCTTCGGGGGTCTGGCCCGTCTCCAGGACCTCTGACAGAGCCCAAATGTAGTTCCTGGCCAGCCTAAGTGTCTCTATCTTGGAGAGCTTCTGGGTCTTGGAGTACCATGGCACCACCCTCCGCAGGTCGTCCAGCGCATCGTTCAGCCCGTGCATTCGTGTCCGCTCCCTGGCATTGGCCTTGACCCTTCGGGCTCTAAATCGTTCCAGGCGAGCTTTGGTCATTTTCTTTTTCTTGGGACCCCGTCTCTTGGGCTTCTCCCCATCCTCTTCCTCCTCGTCTTCCTCCTCTATGCTGTCGTGCTCTTCGGCTAAGCTGCCAAGCACCCCGTAAGCAGCGGGTCTTCTCTCCTCCTCCTTCATCTCATTCTGAGAACCCAGACCTTTGTCCACCCAGGATGGTGTGCTGGCCACTTCCGACATCTCCTTGGGCTTCACGTAAGTCTTTGTCATTTCCAGATCCTGGGGAAGGAGAGAGCAGTGATCAATGCCTGGGATTGTTTGGCTCGATCTAAACCTGAACATTCTTTTTACAGCTTGGAGACAGAACACAGAATTGCACTGGGATTCAAGACAGAATTGCCTAGTCCACACCTGCCATTCCACGTAAAATTAGGTTTCAATATATGACAGCTGTGTAACAATTACAGTTACCACCGGACTAAAAAGTAGATTAAACATTGTTTTTGTCATTCTAAGTTGCTTTACTGCACATGAGTCCCTCAATCTCTTTCCATTTCACTGTAAATAACATCCTCTATTTTCTTGTGGCTGAATATTACCACCTCTTGATGGAGAACTGTTTTCACTGCTCATGCATTTCTTATCAAAATATGGCAAAAGTTAAAATTACAACCAGATCCCTATGAAGCATATTCAAATTATTTTAGAGAAACTATTAGAAATTACCCTTCATTAAACTTTAAAATACTGGCACAGATGCTGAACTTAACAGAACTTAGTGAATGCAGACATGAGTAAGGACTATTCAGACACACAGAAGTAATCTAACCAACTACTGTTTAATCAAAATTTTCTATGAAATTTAAAAATCAGAGAAGACTGGTAGACTGGTGACCTCATAAGCATCTTTTCATTCAATTCTGGAAGGCAGAATTATTTTGAGACTTGTTGAACAAGTTTTTTTGGCATACAATTTACCAAATAAAAGCACTTGATAAATTCTATTGGGTCATCCCAGTTTACCAGCTAATCTTTGAAATTTCCAACCTTCCATCATCTCTCTGTATATCAGGAAGGGGAACACATGATAGATGCTTTTATTTTATCCTTGACACTTGAGCCTAAAATCAATGACTGCAGGGATTAGTACATAGCTTTTAAAATCATAAATATATTATTTGATTTGTTTCTAGTAATCTGAGCTTGTTTTCCTTGTAACCTCATTTACCTCCTATAAATAATTAATTCTACTGCCTTGCAAAAAACAGCCTAGACTTCATGTTAATCAGCACGGAAATCATGTCAGCTTGACTTACTCACTTAATAAGTCTTCCTGGGTAAGCAGCTTTATTGAAAACACACATTGGAACCTATTGGTCAGCTTGCTGCCCAGGCCAAGTCAGAAAATCCCACTTTTAATATGGATGATGGAGCTTGTGTGCTGAGCTCTCTTCTAACTCGGGCAGATATCCAGAGGGAGGGTGAGGACCTAATTAACTTTCCGTTAAAGTAACACAGACCTTTCAGAGACAGGTGCACTTTGAGGCCAAAGAGGATGGAGTGAGCTTTGGAAGCCGCGTGTTCATTAGATTATAATAATATTTGTATTGCCTTATAGCAGACCTTTGAAAGAAATAAGAGCTCCTCATTTTATAGCTGAGGTCACAGTGGGTCAGGTGGATTAAGTGATGGAAAGACAGAGACATAGTCCTGGTAGAGCAGGATATAAATTCTGATTCCAAGTACTAGATTTTCTGTCTGTTTTTTTTCTTCCTTTATTCTTCTATCACAGTTATAGGAAGAGTCCCTTTGACTCCAGGAGAAGTGGATGAGTGGAGGTTAGTCAACCAACACCAGCCATCATCCCAAAGGAAGCTAGTTTACATGTTCTCTGAGTTCTTTTAACTCTCATATTCCAAGATTTCTCCCTCTTCTAATTTATTCATGATTACTTCAATCCTTGTACCCACCCTTCCTTCTCTTACTCTGTCCTTTCTCCATTTTTCTATCTTGTCTTTCTGTCCTCTCCTCTGCCTTATCAGCAGCCATTATCACTGTGTCACGCGTACATGTAGAGGTTAGAAGGAAGATGCAAGAGAAAGAGTCTCTCACATTGCCCTTGAAACTGAATTTGACCTTTTTTTTTTTTTATCATCCAATTGCTGCACCTCTGGATTCTAGCCACATTTGGTCAAACCTCCCTTCCATCAAGAAGTGGGATTAGGAGGACAAGAGAGACTACCCTTTGCCTTTAATAAAATTTGATGGTTTCTGTAAGTGTCAATGAGAAGCTTTCAAACCAAGTTGTCAGCAGCTATGAGGCAAAAGAACCTTCTGGCTTTTCTTAAAACAGTGAAGTCAAGTTTTATATTCTTTTACCAACCATGGAAAGGATAGAAATGTTTCCAATTTAAGCTCCTCTTTTCCCATAGACTTTGGTCCATTCGCTCTAAGAGAACTTCATAGAACACCACAGTGTGGTTTCAGAAGCATGGAACCTGGAATACTGCAACATCAGTCTCAACTCCTTTTATTCCTGCTTGCTGCGCTCAAACATGTAGATGGTCTCTGAGCTTCTATTTCCTCTTTGGTACGGTAGAGTTAACAAATTCGATGTGTTTTTGTTTGTTTGTTTTTTAAGATTTATTTATTTGTGCATACAGAACTGGGGCACAGGCCAGAGGCTCAGGGGCAGTGAGAGGCTTCACCAGAGACAGAGCGGGGAGCAGAACAGACAGATAGATGAAGTACACTGCTGAGGGGAGCAGCGGGCGGGTCAGGAGAGGTCTGCCGCGCCATGTGGTCACCTCAGGGTTAGGTGGGGATCGAACTCATGCGGAAGCGGCTTTAGATTCTCAGTGCTGTGCTTTAACCCGCTGCGCCACCAGGGAGGGCCTAATTCAATGTGGTTTTATGGAAAAATTAAAATATGAGAACGGTTTTCGTGAACTTTTAATACTTTAAAACATTAACTGTCAATTTATTTACTTTTGTTTTTTCTTGGGTTTTTTCCTACAATCCACTTATACATGCTTGCTTATTCAAAAGTTAAAAGCATTTCTTGGAGGGAAATAGTGAAAGTAATTGTATTAACAACTTTTCCTTCTAACCATCTGGATGGGATTCTCTGATTGGCTCAGAAGATCATCTAGTAGCCTATATTTTTTTCCATTGTGAAAAAGACCATGGTGAGATCACCTGAATTCCAATTTCAGCTCAATTACTTACTACTTTTTTGTTCTGAGGAAAGTTTTATAACTTGTCTGTGCCTCAGTTTCCTCTGCTTTAATGTCATCATCATCATCAGCAGCATCAGCATCATCATCATCTTACCTCATAGGGTTATTGTGGCATAAAATGAACTACTATGCTCAAAGACTTGGATTAATCCCATATATGTTTTTACCATAAACATCATAGATGTGCTAAGTATTATTGTGCCTGAAATTCACCATGAGTTTTTCTGGCCACCTGGACAAAATACAGATAATTACAATCTGTGCTAACTATTAATTTTATACCCAAAATCCCAACATTTCTATCTCGACACCCACTTCAAGAAATTCCCTGATAAACTTCCTCCCTCAGCCTATTTAATGAAATTAAATATCAGCACTTCTAAACTGCTGCAAGGGGTAAGAAAAAGAGCCCCCGCCCCAGTCACTGGACTGATGAAAACTCCTCCTCCATATTCAACAAGGAAGTTGCCTTTCATTTTTGTTATCATTGAAACATAGTTATTGGCCAGACACTTGGTCACATAAAATTTCAGGTTCATAAAGTTGCCAATGAAATACAGATAAACTGTAACACTTGGACACTTTTCCTTGTCTCATTGACTAAATAATATTAAGGATATAACTTTCCTACCAGAATCAAGTGTCAAAGCTCTGAGAGGAAAAATATAGTATCTCGTGAATACAAAGGAATAGAAATTAGAACTTCTCAAAGACTTTCCTTTAACTTTTTCCAATTAAATATCTTCTCTGAGTCAATAAGGTTAGCAGAAAAATATCCAATTTTAGATTTGGTAATGGGGAAAAAAAAATGTCTGGTGCAGTTCTGAGTTTTGATCAAGGAAACCAAGATGGTTCTCCCCATCCTGGCATCTGACGGCTGTGGCTTAGCCTTTCACAGAGTTAGTTCAGAGGTATAAGGAAAGAAGCATAAACCTGGAACCTTCTTCCTTCACTGACTTGTTAAGTAAGCACAGAAAAATTACTTCTCCCCTTAGAGCAAAATGGAGCCAATGTTTTTGTCTATCCTATTCAGGCTATAAGTGTTCGTGAAAGGCACGGTACTAAGGCAAGCACAGTGCCACGTAAGGTCGCCATGCCAATGGGAACATTGGCAATGGTTTGGTAGCAGCCTTATGGGACAGTCCTCAGCACCACTTCACAAGGCATTGTTATACGTCGTTTTGTTTTTCTAATTTTTAAACTCTTTTCTCATTATGAATTTGCCTATATTTGCCTATATAATTTGGGCTTATATTTTACTCCTCCACACGTGTCCATTCACTCTCCAGCAAACCTCCTGTGCCCAATTCATTGAAAGAAAGAACTCCTCTCAAAATACACAGGGTCAATCCCAGTATCACACAAAATAATGAATATTAGAGGCAGAATCCAGCCTCTACCCCAACCATTCTAATAAATACTATAAACCAAATCGGTTTAGTCCTTGAGCTTGATATTTGAATTTCCTTCTGTATCTACACAATATAATGAATTTTCCTTTCTTTAGGAGCTTTTGTGAAATGTCAAGAGTAGCCATCTCTCAAACTAAAAGTATTTTCTCACTATTTAAAAAAATTAGACTAGTTCTGGCAAAACATTTGCGTAGGCAATGATTATGAATCCCCAATACCTTCAATATTGGGCCTGGGATCCCTGGACATTACTACTTCAGGAGCTGTCCTTGAGTTTATCCTACACATGACCAATTTTTGGTCATTATGGGAAAATTTCAATTGCCTGAATGTTTGTGTTAATTAGATCATGTTTTTCCTCATAAAGCCGAGTGTGCTTTCTCCTCCTCCTCATCCCGTGACTAAATCCTAAACATCACAAGAAGGGGCCTAGCCAGCCCAGTGCCTAGGGAACCTAAGGACCAAACAGACTGAAGCCTTGCTCAGTAGCCAGGAAAGTCACGGAAAATGGTGAAGATGTTTAGAAGTTGCAGAAAGAAACAGACTACTGGCTGGTGTGTGTTCTTCCTCAACAAGCTTCACCCTCTTCCACTTTCCCTCTTGATTAGGACCTGTACACACACACACACACACACACACACACCTAATCCCACATAGTCACGTCACACTGAGATTGCAAAGTAACTTTGCAGACAGGAATTACTCAGTCCTTTCGCTCCCATCTGTCTTCCTCAGCAGTCATCGCTGGCCCCTCTGGCAAAAAAATGCGGGAAGCATTTTACCATTATTAGCATTTTTCTGAATACATCTTTGGTGGGAGAATGATAAGTGAGATGCCAAAGAGGTGAAAATAAACATGGAGACCTATCTAAAGTTCTCCCACCTAAAGGGCTGAAGAAAAGAAAAACCTCCTCTATGTCGCCCAAGTCTCTAAAGATTTATAGTGGATCAAGAGTAACAATAATGAAAATGCCCATGACTTTCCAGGGTCTTCTCTTATTTCTTGCTCTATATTCGTTTTCCATCCGCCCCTGCATTTTCCAACGAGCCTGAAAACCGTGTGAACAGAGTGGTGGGTGGGTTTTGTTCTTCCATCCCAAGTGCTAGGCCACTTTAGAACACCAGTTAAACTCTTTGGCTGTTTTCTTCCCCTGCGTTAATGAAACAGAAAGGTGGTTTTGAAAACCGAGGGTGCCTGATTTGCCATTTCTGTTTCATAATATGATTGAGGGTATCTGAGCTTCACTGTGGGTGTCAGGTACTCTGGGAATCAGTGGACTATTGGAAGTTCCATGTCTGTTCCTGCGTGGTCTCTCTCTGCTTCTGCCCGAGTCCCTAAATCTCATCCCTTCTCGTTTAGCCCAGAAAAGACCAACCTCACACAACTGCCCCTGCAGTTCTGGGGAAGTGCCCGCGGGAGCTAGTCTTGGCTCCCCGGTGCCCTGCTCACCTCTCTCAGCGGCAGCTCCTGGCGTGAGCTCTGTGGATCTGTGTCCTGGAGGAGAATCAGGGAAGCAAAGCCCCCTGCACGTCCAGACCACAGAAGGACGCGCACGAAGCTTCCCCTGCTCAGCGCGGCCACTGCCTCTTAGGAATGCCAGGTCTGGCTTCTTTGCTACTTGTTCTACTTCTTCCCTGGAATTCTCCTCAGCGAGCCTCGGTGCTGACGCCTGCCTGGCAGCTGCTTGGTGGACTTCAGTCCCTCCTCTCCGGGTTAGCTCCCCACGGGGCGGCTTTCAGGACCACGGCCCCTGGGCAGCTCCTGCGCTCTGGAGGAAGCTGGCTGCGCGGCACTTTTGACGGCTCTCCCAGCTGACCCGGGAGGAGGGGGGTCCCCCAAGCCTAACCCCGCCCCGGCCCAGCTGAAAGGCACGCCTCCTTCTCAGGCTCCGCTGGCCTGGGCCAGCTTGGCCATTCATTTGCTTGTTTAAATAAAAATAGAGGCTGGGAGAAGGCGTCTGTGGAGAAGGAGTCTGTGGAGGGAAAGCCGCTGCAGCGGTACGTGAAGAAAAAGAGGAGGAGAAATCCTTGAGGTGAAAAAGTTCAGAAATGGGAAGGCCTGGGAGTGGGCAGAGTGAGGAAGGAGGATTGGAGAAAGGCCTGGGGAGAGACAGCTAAGAGGGCCAATACAAACGCCGCCCATGTCTGGGAGAATCAAATGGCGAGAAGATCCGCGGAGGCTTAGCATCGCTGAGGGGTGAACTCCCCCCCTCCCCCCGCCCCCTCTGCTGCCCTTGGCTTCAGTCAGAACCCCGAAAGCGGAAAGAGGATTCTTCTGCTTCTGCTTTTCAAATGTCATCTAATTCTCACTGAAAACCCTCTTGTTTTATTGTGAATACTTCCTAATCAAATTGCACCGACAAATCATTGATTTGAATGCGGCATCACTTGGGGAGCAGAGCTTCACAGCCTGGTGTGGCCCAGGGCTCCCTGCCACCCAGAGCCTCTGTCAGGTCTTCCCTCACTGCCTGGGCTCCACCCCAACCCTTAATTTTAATTAATGACCGAAAACTATATCTGTATTGGCAGTACTGTTCTTTCAACTTTTCTGTTTGTTTAAAACATTGGGGTGCACGGGGGAATTAGTAGTGGGGATTTTACAGGGACGACACCTGACAGAAGGAAGCAGTCATTGCACAAAAAGAAAGAATGATGTGAAATATATATAAAGTTAACACATAAAATGTAAGGGAGCAAACAAATAGAATTTTTATTTTATTTTTTTAGATTTTATTTTATTCATGCATACAGAACTGGGGTACAGGCCAGAGGAGCAGGGGCAGTGAGAAGCTTCACCAGGGACAGAGTGGGGAGCAGAACAGGCAGATGGACAAAGCACACTGCTGAGGGGAGCAGCGGGCGGGTCAGGAGAAGTCTGCGGTGCCATGTGGTCACCTCCGGGGCAGCCGGGATCGAACTCGTGCTGAAGTGGCTTTAGCTCCTTAGTGTTGTGCTTTAACCTGCTGCGCCACCAGGGAGGGCCTTTATTTTTATTTTAATTCTTCATATTACAAATGAGACCCACTACTGTTTTTCAAAAGTATATCATGGAGCATCCAGGTAGAAAATATCCGCTTGTGTGGTAATGAACTTGAAAGAAAAGACTTATCACGTAATTCCTAAAATTCCTGTGGCCTTATAAAGTGGTGTTAAGTTGCTACTGAGAAAATAGAAAACTACACCTGAAAATATTGCCTGAAACTCTACGGCTAGCCTTTATAACAGAGTCCTGCACTTGGCTGTCAAGTTGTGAAGGATTTTCATTTTTAGAGATTGCAGAATTTGGAATACTATCTTGTGTGAAACTTGTCCAAGTTCAAATAAGTACTGTGAAAGAGTGCACAATCTTCTAGTGACCCCAAGAGGGAAAAGAAGGGGGCTTGGAGAAAGCAACTGACTGATTTCCACAAAGTCAACTTCATTTTTTTATCCGTTTCTGTATCTGTAAAATGACCTGATGATTTTTTTTCCCTCATCAGTAGCGAGATAGAATTCTGAGTCTAGTATCAACTTCTTTTTGATGTTGATGGAAGGATATTCCCCAAACTTTCTGAAAAATTACTACTTCTACCACCGATGTGACACACAGGTGCACGTCTCCCTTCTGTACACAGCAGAAGGGAGATGCGGAAGGTGATGACAGGGGATAATTTTATCACCAATACAGCTGCAGGGAATAGCTTCCCTTGGAAAGTTAATTTCCGAAACATCTGACACGAACGATGTGACTCTTGCTCTACACCAAAAAAATTAAAGTCAACATTTTAAAAACTTTCATAGGGAGCGTTTTTACCATCAGCAAACCTTTAAGCTCTTACTAATCTGTGTGCCCCTACTCAGGAAGTAACCGGCTCAGCAAAATAAAGTATTTGCAGAGTAATAAAATAGCGCGTTAGAAACAGTGAATTTCTGAAAGCCAAGTCAGAATCCACTCGTCAGCCTGAGGAGATTTTCATCTATGCCAAAATCTGTGTTTCACGTAGTAGAGGCGCAGTGAGCACTTCCAGCGAGGAGTGCGACTGCCCTGACGCCCGCCCACAGCAGGGGAGACTTGCCCGGGGCTGGGGATGGTGTCCTGCCTGCGAAATATTCGGGCAAGCCGGAGCGACGGATTTGCAGAAAGGTGAACATAACTGAGACAAAGCCGCGCGTGTGGGCGGAGCATCCTGCGGGCTCCTGGCGTCCTCTGACAGATGTAAGGGCCGGGACACAATAGGATTAGCCCGCAGAACGTGCGCGAAGAGAAGGCAGACTTAGCAGGCAGCTAAGCAGGACTCGGGATTTCCTCAGCGGTGCCCTTTACAGGGGAGAGGCGAATCTGTGTCTGGGGTCACCTCGCCGGGACTCCTCATGCTTGTAGTTGGCTGCTCAGCCCGGAGAGGACCGGAAGGGGCTGGAGGCGCGAGCCTCGGCGCAGAAAAAGGTGGCAGCTGACTGCAGGACATTTGCATCCATCCTCCTCCCCTACATGGGGTCTGGGCCAGAGGGCCAGCCCCCAGCCCTTCCCTCTTTCTCGGCTGCTTTTTGTGAGGCTCTGAGCTAACCTGTTAGAACCATCTGCTGGGTGGGGGAGATACAACCAGCACTCAGTTGCCAGCCCACGGGCCTGACGCCAGGGAGCCATTGAAGGAGGCGGGAGGGCGGCAACAGGCAGATTTATGGGCAGCAGTCTGTTCTCCCACACCCCCAGAGCCCCACTGCGGGGGGACAGCTTGATAATCCATCAACCCCACTAATGAATTAATTAGTATTCCCAGTAATCCTGACCCCTAAAGGAAACCAGCCTGGGGGCCCCGAAGGGGGCCAGAAACTGCCTTCTTCAACCAGACACTTGAGACCCAAGACCACGGCTGGCTGACGCCAGGCCCCAGGGTGCTAAGCTGTGAGCCACAGACCCTGCTGTTAGCAATCCCCAGATGTCCCTCCTTCTCACCTTCCCTGGGGAACCCCCTGGCTTTTGCTGAATTAAAACCAATATCACCAACAAATGGACTCCAGAGTCATAAGTCAGGGACTATGGAGACCCGATTAGTGAACTCCCAGGACAGCCAGAATTAAGGTTGTCCATGTATTGATTTATGATGAAACTTAAGCAGACCTAAATCTGCTCTGCTGGATTAGTGTGTTTGGGGGTGAGGTAAGGATGGGGGGTAAAGGAAGCACCCTTCCTGACCTCAGTGCTCTGGGAGGGACGTGATGCCAGGTCAAGACATCGCGAAATTTTCACAATTGTGAAAAGAGCTGAAACAAAGTGCTTGTGACTTGACTGTCTCCTGAATAAACACTGGAGTGAAGCAGAGAGTTCTGAGCTGCTGAGTTTTGAACAGTCTGGAGAGGCTGGCACCTGACATTCAAAGTCTTGTTCTTTTGCAAAACTCTGTGGTGCAGGGAGCTGAAAACAAAAACAAAACAAGCAAACTACACTTGGGAATAAGGAAACCTGCGTTCTAGACCCTTGTCTGCCGCAAACCGTGTCACATAGTGAGCGGCCGGAGCCCTCTGGACCTCACATCGTCATCGGTGATCAGGATGGCTATGGTCTCTAGCTCCTTCAAGCTCCAGCATTCAAAGCTGCTGACATAGTTAAATGCTACAGGGTCCCTCCCGGAAGGTGCTTTAGACTAGTTTGATTGCTGTTTGACTAACACCTATGCGATCAAATATATGCAATGTGAGGTCTTAGATTTGCATAATTAATTACAAAGTGGGTCTAGAAGCTAGGTCATAGGCCGGGGAGCCTTCTCTCCGCCCAGTTTCCTGCTCTTTTTTGGGAAAGATGCTTAACTCCACCTTCTCCCACCTCATTCGTTCAAGAACTGTGCCTTTGAGCTTCCACAGGGCAATCAAGACCATCCGATTCAGCTACAGAAAACTACCTGAGTTTGCGAAAATTTGTTGGGAAACTTCTGCATCTTTGGAAGTTCTAGACCATTTATCTCCAGCATACTTGTCTGCATTTGCTATACTCAATTCCTGAGAGTAAAGTCCGCTGGGATTCAGCTGAATCCTAACAACCCATTAACTACCCACATGACTTCAGGCAAGGTCTGTCTCTGAGCTGAAGTTTCTTCAACTGTCAGTTGACGGCAATAATACTTATCCTAAACACTTGCTCTGAAGTGTAATGGGGGTCCCTGGGAGAAGGGGGGTTCCGGCTTCCCTGCCCCACCCAAAGGAGGGTGGAGCTGAGCAGGGAGGGTGGAATCTGAAGAGGAAACTGAGGAGGAAAAAGCAGGATGAAGAGCAGGAAGGAGGCCCGAGGGAGACGTGTGAAGAAGCGGCTGGTTTCTGGTCCTGCAAGAGTTGAAACAGACGTGGCTGAGAGACCCGTGGGGAGGTGACTACGGCAACATTTTGTCTTGATTTTGCTCTTTTCCTCCCAGACCTATCTGACCATTTCTGACCATTTTCTCTGGGTCCCTGCTGGAAGGTGCTTTAGACCTGTGGTGGGCTTTCAGGCCCT